GTGCATATCTAGCTGATATAAAAAAAACGTTTATTAAGCGCTTACGTGGAATAACATTCATGAAGAGAACATGAACTTTAGCTACCATCCCTTTGGTTGAAAAGAGAACTGACAAAAAAAAAAAAAAAAAAAAAAAAAAAAAAAAAAAAAACAACTAGAGGTTTATCGTTGATACACAAAGTCAATCAATCTACATATTTTAATACTATCCTAAACAAGCAAAATATAGCTACTTGCGCACATCGGCTCGCCATATTAGTATAGATTAACCCCCTGTCATGTCAATTTTCTGTCATGTCAATTTTCACTTCCACGGGGTAAATTGACCTCTGGGTGAGACCACGATGGCTCAGAGAGAGGGAAGTGAGATTGCTTTCGTTATCTTTTAGAGTAAATAAAACGCAGTGATTATTATTATTATTTTTTAAATACGTTTTAGGCCCCGGAACCTGGAGGCAAATCCTTATACTGTGTTATAATCATTAATCATCATCATTATTATTATGATTATTATTAGTATTCATTATCAATTATTATTATCATCACTATCATCACCATCATCATTATTATTATTATCATATTCCTTATCCTTATTCCATTTTTCTAGTATTGTTATTGTCAAGAAATGATATTGATACGTGAAGCAAATAACAGAATAAAACATATATTACCATTCTACGTGTTATAATAATATACTGCATATTTTTGCCGATATACTTCATTTTTTTGTGATTTAGGTGATGTTTAGATATAAAGTGTACTCCGATATCATTGAGTTCTGTATATGTTTATTAGCGAGATAGTAGTGTTAATGGTGGCTCAATGTTGTTTAGATATACCTGTAATTAATATCAAATAGCAGTCAGTTAAATTGAATTCAAGAGCAATTTTTAGTATACAAGAAGCGATTCTTTCAAAAATCACGAAGAAATTATAACCAGAGTAAATACAACGCTTCACGAATAAATCTATTGAATAGTTCCCAAGCGCTACCTTGGCGCCATCTATGGGGAGTAATTATCATTTCCTACTTTTCAGATTGTTTCATATATTTTTGTTTTCTTTGTTCTCTTCTGCGTTTCGTGTTTTGTGATTTTTTGGTTTGTTGCGAGCGATTTGTTATGGGAAAAAGGTATATAGTAACGGTCTAAAATACGTGTCCATGAAGGGACTTTTATAAAATGCGCCGCCACATGAGAGTAATACGATATATGCAGAAATATGCGAATAATTTAGACAATAGTGTAAAAAAAAAAAAACGGACGTGCTGCAATCAGTACGAGATTCTCGGCTGACGTTTTACATACACAAAAAAAAAAAAAAAAAAAAAAAAAAAAAAAAAAAAAAATCCATGTATATGTATATATTTTTCCCTTAAAAACATTATTCAACATTCAGTGACACAGGTTGCCGTCTTCTTACACATTCTCTCCCTCCACATTTCTGCCAACTTTTATCTATTACTCGTATTTATATTTTAGTCCAAGTATTTTTCGTTTCTGAGATCCAGAGTATATATACTGTATAGATTAGTATGTGTGTGCGCACACAAATACAGTATATATATAATATAATATATATATATATATATATATATATATATATATATATATATATATATATATATATATATATATATATATGTGTGTGTGTGTGTGTGTGTGTGTGTGTGTGTGTGTGTGTGTGTGTGTGTGTGTGTGTGTGTGTGTGTGTGTTGTGTTTCTGTGTATACATATATATACATATACATATATATATATATATATATATATATATATATATTATATATATATAATATATATATATACATATATATTTATATATATATATATATATATATATATATATATATATATATATATATATATAATACATACATACATACATACATACACACACACATATATATTTGATTTGGTCGTGTTTTGCCCTGATGTTATAGATCGCAATGCTTGATAAGCGTATTAACGTAATCAGAAATCGCTCTGCCTCATTCTCCTCCTCCCTATCTCCCCTTTCTCTCATTCACTCCATTCTCCTCTTCCTCCCCTCCTCCCTCTCCTCCCCTCCTTTTTTCTCATCCACTCCATTCTCCCCCTTCCTCACTCCTCCTCCCTCTCCTCCCCTTTTTTCTCATCCACTCCATTCTCCTCCCCTTCCTCCCTCTCCTCTCTCTCCTCCCTTTTTTTCTCATCCACTCCATGCTCCTCTTCCTCCATTCCTCCCTCTCCTCCCCTTTTTCCTCATCCACTCCATTCTCCTCCTCTCTTCCTCTCCCTCTCCTCCCTTTTTTTCATCCACTCCCTCCCCCTCCTCCTCCCTCTCCTCCTTTTTTCTCATCCACTCCATTCTCCTCCCCTTCCTCCCCTCTCCTCTCCTCCCCTTTTTTTCTCATCCACTCCATTCTCCTCCCCTTCCTCCCCTCCTCCCTCTCCTCCCCTTTTTTCTCATCCACTCCATTCTCCTCCCTTCCTCCCTCTCCCCTCTCCTCCCCTTTTTT